AAATCGTGGCAATGATCGTGATACGGCGGAAACGAAGAAGTCGATGGCTTCCTTATCTCTCATTTTAGACTTTTAACATAAATACAGTCAAGTATACTTTGTTCTGGCATAACAGGGTACGGTCAAATTTTTGCATTGTTTTTACGCAATTTTGCAGAACGTTTGAAAAACGGAAATTCAGGATCCGAGGAACGTTAAACGCTTTTTCCAGGTCTGATATTCCGAATGGTGGTAAAATATTTTATACTCACAACAGCTATTACAAGATGTTTTGCAATTTTTTGCCATCCAGTAGTAAGTTTCGTTATCCTTTTTATCATCACATTTTCCATTCGCTTCCCACTCGGGACAACTCTGATACTCGTCTTGACACTCTAAAAAACCCCACCATATAATGATTTTCAAACTTTTCAAAACATTGAAAAGTATTCGCAAACACAGCCTCGTGCATAATCGCTACACGCACATAAAAACGCACAAGTTGCAAACACGTTGTTACAAATCTGTTCACAAGTTGTGTTCGCACTGCTTGCCCCAAGTTGTCAACAAGTTTGGAACAAGCTGTTAACAACTTGTAACAAGCTTGATGGCATCATCATACTTGTTACAAGGTTGTTCATCAGACTTGTTACAAGGTTGTTACAATAATTTTACAAGGTTGACGATACAAGGTTGTAACAATATTGTTGTACCATGACTGTATCGGACTTGTTGGAACAACCTTGCCACAAGTCTGATAATATCAACAAGGCTGTTAAAAGTTGTTAACAGCTTGTTCCAAAGTTGTTGGCAACTTGGGACAAGCAGTGCGAACACATACGTTAACATGGTGTCCTTGCATAAAAATGCTCTTACCAGAAGCTATGTCAAAAGGGGGGGGAGGATCCTTTCAAAAATATATATTTGCTGATATATTTACATGCATATGAGATCAAATTTCGTTATCATATAAAGCATTCTTCAAAGACTGTATTGAAGTTTTATTTTTCAAATGATCAGGAAGACCATTTACCAAAATGGTAAGAATTTGCGCGAGAATCCAGGTTTCATCCTCACCCACGCGAGCATGCCTATCTAAGCGCCCTTGTGCCTATTAGAAGCCCTCCAAGTGACCTCAAATTAACCTAATTGTTCAAACTGATCAAAAGCCTCAAATTAATCTAAATGGTTAACCAATGTCTTTTGCAGTGGCGCCGCCAGATTGATAATTGGGGGGGGGGGGAGAATATTCATATATTTGTGTTCACAGACCATAAAGACAATCGATTTCAAAAGAACTTAATAATGCAGAACACGAAGATATGAATATT